TCAGCCCCCGTTAGCTCCCTGGGGGAGGGACCAGAGCCACAGCAACGTGGCCAGCAGCCCCTCTTTGTGGCACATACGCCTCCCTGGCTGGCGCCACGGGGGGGGCCGGACACCCACCGCCTTCCCCCCACGGCCCCCGGAGCCGCCGCACCCCAGACCCCCCTTCCCTCCTCCCCAGCCGCCAGCTCCGGCCGTTCCCCCCGCTTCAAAGCCCCGAAATCCGGAGGGCACCGGCCAGGCCCAGGGGAGGCGGCCGGAGCCACCTCGGCCTCCCCGCGGCAGGGGGTCAGGGCCTGCCCCGCTCCCCCGGGAGCACCAGGCCCCGCCAAGGCCCGGAGACCCGAGGGCGGCGTGAGGCGGGCGGGGAGCGGCGGCGCCTCCCCCGAGGCCGTGCCCGGTCTCCCTCCCCGCTCCCCCCTCGCCCCCCGCTCACCAGCCCCAGGGCGGCGGGCGGCACCAGGGCGGTGCTGAGGGTGTGCCAGGCGGCGGAGAGCCCCGCGCCCACCGGCGGCTCCATGCGGGCCGGGCCGCAGGAAGAGGCGGAGCGGCGGGGCCGGGGCGATGGGCGGGCCGGGGCCGGCGCTGCGGGAGTACAACGCGGAGCTGCGGGAGGGTGAGCGGGGCTGGGATGGGGGGGATCTCGGCGGCGGGGGCTGGGGCTGCGGGCTGACGGCTGTGTCCCCCCCAGGGCTGGCGGAGCTGCGGGCCCGGCGGGAGGAGCTGAGCGGGAGGATCCGGGAGGAGGAGGCGGAGCGGGACCGGCTGCAGGGCCGGCTCGGGGCGCTCACCCAGCGGCTGGCCCGCACCAGCGAGAGCCTGGCACGGAACCTGGTCGCCCGGGGCGAGCTCGACAGGACCATCGCCGAGACGGAGGCGGCCTACGGGAAGGTAACCCCGGCCCCGGGGCTCCCCGGCCACCCCGGGGCTCCCGGCACAGGCGGGGAGGGTGGGGGTTGAACCCAAAAAGCACGTTGTCAAAATACATCAAAACCCATCACTCGCCGGGGAAAAGTAAAAAGGGAGAAGGCAGAGCCAAGCCGCTGACCCAGGAGACCGTGAATTCGTGCCCTGCGGTGGCAGAGCTGCTGGGCTACCAGACACACTTTTTTTTCCCTCCAATTTTTAATGTAATCTCTTCCATCTTTCATGGAATAATATCATCGAAGGAGTAGAAACGTGGGAGCAGTGAAGGGTGTGGGCCGTTATTTATCGTTGGCAGCAAAGGGCGCAGGGGCTGCTGTGGTTTCGGTGCTGGGGTGGCTCTACCCGTCCCCCGTTCCTGGGTTTGGGAAGTCTTCCAGGCAGGGACCCCTTGATCCTGCGTATGGGATATCGGTGGAAGTCACTTCTGAATTACACACACATCAGCCTTTTTAAAAAAAAAAAAAAGGATCTTTCCAGCCCTGCTTTCAGAGCAGCAGTGATCTTGATAATCTTCTTTCCTTTGGTCCAAAAGCAGCCCTCCCCCTGTTAGCTGCTGCCTGAATTCCCTTTTTCCCATTTGTTTCTTGAATGTGATCAACTACTCCCTGTCAGACCCTCTTCGACTCCCAGCACCAGTACTTTCCTGTGACAATTATTTTTTCACATGAGGCTAGAGCTGCTTTCTCCTCCCACTTTAAGACCTGATGGTTTGGGGTGAAGAGGGGGAACTCGCATAAAAATTTAACAGCTTAAAAATTGTGTTGTAAAGCTCCTCAAACAAACAGCACCTTTTAACAGTAAACCTTCCCTGAGGTACAAGTCACAACCTCCAGCCTCCAAATGGATTGATACTTACTGAAATTAAAAGATACTCCCAGGGGGTAAAAAGCAGAGGTGTCTCGAACTGTGGGGCACTTACCTTCAGCTCTTCTCTGGCCGCTCGGTGATTTCCACAAGTTCATGGGAAACACAAATGATCTTTGGGACTACAACCCTACGGTCACACTGTTACAGCTGTCCACCCTGTTAAAACTTTGAAATGGTGAGACAGACAGACAGGCAGTGAGATCTCCTAAACCTGTTGGAGCTTGGCTTCCTAGAGCACAGTAAGTGGGAATGTTGGATTGCGTACAATGTACACTAAAAATAGGAGAAAAATAATAAAAGGAAAGATTAAGGTCATTGTGGAGTCGAGTCAGTCTCGAAGCAAGAAACCTAAAGCGTGCAGTTTAACAGTGGAGACACCTGAAACTGAGTCAGCTCAATTTAATCCAAAAAGCTCAGGTATCAACATCTTCCTTAAAAATAACCCCAAACCCCAAAAGTTCAGCCCCACAGCCTGCTTCAGGAAGTTCTCTGCCTCGTGCTGCAAGACCAATAAATTGCTTAAGCTGTTCTGAATTCAGGATGTGGGCACCACCCAGAGAAATTCCTCCCCAGGTATTCCCACAGTGAGACAGGACGAGCCGTCACTGAGAATTAGGTACTGTGAGGGCTGGAGAATCCCTCTTGCTGCAAGGTAGATCAGCTGGATTTGAAGAAAACTCATGAGAGGAAACAGTTTATGTAAAAATAAGCTATTTTTATTTCTTTCTTTCCCAGATTCTGGAGAGTTCTCAGACATTGCTAGATGTCCTGAAGGAAGAAATTGGGAATGCTGGTAAAGCCAGTGAGCTGCAAAGCACTTCAAAAGAAAGAGAAAAACAAGCACGTGGAGAAAAGCATTCCTAAAGTTGTTCTTTAGCCTGGAGAGGCCTGTCCTGGGAGAAGGATGCCACATTTAATAAAAGTCTTTGTTTTGCAGGAGTAAATTTTCCTTTCAGCTGCACTTTGGTATTAGTTAGAGATCTGCTAAAGTTAGTCCTAAAAAACTAGAGGTCAGGGGAGGCATCTACAAAAAAAATACCCTTTATTTTGAGCACAGTGATAGCGAAGCACATCCCCAGGGGTGACTGACCAGCTTCTGCTTCTGCCCTCAAATAGCATTCCCCTTGCTCTGCCAGGAGCTGGTAGGGATTAGAGTAGGAAGCCGGGAGGCGCGAAGGCAGCGCTCGGCGAGGTGTAAATCCCAGCTACAGGGTGGAGGAGGCAAAGTGGGAGGAGGAGTAGAGAAGTCAGAGCAGACCAGGGTACCAGGAGCTCCTGGGGTGAGCCCACCCTGCAGTCCCATGCCTCCCCCGAGCCTCTCCCAACCAGAGACACAGCAGGCACAGGGCTCATCACCCAGAACAGCATCACAGTGGCTGAAGTCAGCAGGACAAGCTGCAGGATATTGCTGGCTTTAGCATTCCTCATCAATCCGTGGCAGAACAAAGTCAGGAGTAGGTCAGACACCTGGTCCCCAACTTCAATTGCAAGCAGTTTGTGCTTTGCTGTTAAGCTGCAAATCTTAAACTGGCTCAACCCAGTTTAAGTCAGTGAGATAGGGCTGCCTTCAACTGGCCTGAGCTTTTCCACAACGCAGGATGCTCGCTGGGACATTTTCTGCTAGAAAAAAAGCCACGCGTAACCTTTTCTTCAAACAATGGTCCCTGATCTTTGGCTGTGGGCACTGCTCAGTGTTTAACTCCACACATCTGATAACTTCCTTATCCCTTAACTCTAGCAGTCACTAGCGGTCCTGCATTCTTCCTCGTGCTACCCCACTCTCAGCATCTTGTCCTGAAGTGTTTCATTAACGGGAGAAGCCTTAGCACAGGGGATTCACTCAGTGTTTGTATCGTGTCACAGGCTGACACACTGCCAACCACATATGGCTCCTGGGAGGTCAGGCAGGGAAGGGATCTCGAGTTAGCTTGGAAAGGACAAGCCTTAGAAGCGCAAGGAGGTATAAAGTGTTCCTTTGTGGCCCCTCCAGCCAACATCTAACAAGCTGCTTTTTTTTTTTTTTTTTTTTTTTTTTTAAAAAAAAAAAAAAAAAAAAAAAAAAAAAAAAAAAAAAAAAAAAAAAAGTTCTAGGAAAAATATTAAACCC